TGAGGGACGTAGTACAAGTTTAAAAGGTTTGTAGTATTAGTACATGAAGATATGAGGGATGTAGTACAAGTTTAAAAGGTTTGTAGTATTAGTAAGTGAAGATATGAGGGATGTAGTACAAGTTATAAAGGTTTGTAGTATTAGTAAGTGAAGATTTGAGGGACGTAGTACAAGTTTAAAAGGTTTGTAGTATTAGTACATGAAGATATGAGGGATGTAGTACAAGTTTAAAAGGTTTGTAGTATTAGTAAGTGAAGATATGAGGGATGTAGTACAAGTTATAAAGGTTTGTAGTATTAGTAAGTGAAGATTTGAGGGACGTAGTACAAGTTTAAAAGGTTTGTAGTATTAGTACATGAAGATATGAGGGATGTAGTACAAGTTTAAAAGGTTTGTAGTATTAGTAAGTGAAGATATGAGGGATGTAGTACAAGTTATAAAGGTTTGTAGTATTAGTAAGTGAAGATTTGAGGGACGTAGTACAAGTTTAAAAGGTTTGTAGTATTAGTAAGTGAAGATTTAAGGGACGTAGTACAAGTTTAAAAGGTTTGTAGTATTGGTCTGAGGGATGTGTAATGACCTCTATTCAAGCAGTGAAATACTTCTGTAAAATAATTTTTTATTTCAGTTTAGTTAACAACTTTATTTTTCACTTCTTTTTTTTTTTAGGTGACCATGATCACCCTTACTTGAATGTAGAAAAACTTCAGAGTAAACCTCGTAAAAACCAGCGTACCCTGCGTGTGAAGTGTCGGGCCAGCTGCTGGTAGTGGAAGCTGCTCGGGTCTCTCAGGGCGTCGTTGTAGGTTTCTCCTCTCAGCTTGAGGCTCAGCTCCACAACCTGGTCCTTCAGGGGCCTCTGGGGCCACAGCAGGGTGTCATCTATCTCATTACCGATCTGAATGTGAAGGAACATACAAGTTTAGTGTTGGTATCATATCAGGACCAGGGATGAACTGTTGGAGGATGACCTGGGCCCAGCTGTTGATCAGCTTAACCCTTAATACACATAATGTTATTCATCCCTACAACAGGAAATACTTTTTCCCTAACCTGATATGAAGTGTGCGCTGCACATGTGAGCATTTTTGATGATGGCCTCCGTCCAGTCGTTTGGTCTTATCACATTTAACCATAGTTTTGAGCCATGACTCCTTCTATTCTGGCTCCCAATAACACAACAAGACAAACACATTTTAAGACTCCTATGTAGCCTACAGCCCTGTGGGGGAGAGGCAGCTGCACCTCCAGCAGACTTTGTTACATTGGCAAGTATCGTATTGTTGTCCAAATCGTATCGTAATGAAACTAGTGATTTACACCCCTGCTATTGTACAGATTTGATCCAGTCCGCCAAAATCCTTTCAGAATACTTCTGAACAACTGGGCCCAGGCATTCTACAACAAATCAATATTTGCTTACCGAGTTCTCGTCCTCCAACCCAAAGGCGTTGTTTCCAAATAAGTTGTCCTCTAAGTCATAAGGCCTCTCTGTTAGATATGGGAAGTTACCATTGTTATACTCCACTACATACTTTGTTGTGACCTCCAGAGAGGGACCAGGGGTGGCCTCCTCAGTGGCATCCACTGCAGTGCCTTGCGTTGTCCCTGCAGTGCCTTGCGTTGTCCCTGCAGTGCCCTCCGCAACAGATTCTGGGGTGATTTTGGCAAGGGGCTCTGATGTGACCTCCGCTGGGGCCTCTGTCGTGATTTGATTTGCATCCTCTGCTGATACATCAGGGGAGATACCCTCAACTTCCTCTGGGACAACCTGAACGCTGTCCTCACTTAGGTCTTCTTCAGGTGTGCCCTCTGGGACAGGCTCATCAGGAAACTCTAGATTGACCTCCTCTGCTTTGGTGATATCTCCCCCTGTGGCAGTCCCTGGATGGGAAACCTCTGGCGATGTTTCACTCGCAGCCTCTGGGACAGTTTCTCTCTCAGGGAAAGATTCCGATTCTGGAACTTTCCTTTCAGGCTCAGTCACCTGTGTAGTACCCTTACTACTGGTGTCTGGTGCTTCTCTTACTTGGGGGTCTTCTGGAAGTTCCACTGTTACCTCTGGTTCAGGTATTTCCTCCACCTCTGTTGCCGGTGATAAAATTTCGGTATCTTCGGGAACAACAAAAATAACCGGAGTAATCTCCTCATCAATGTCTCGGGTTTCCTCAAGAGTCTCTGGGACAACTTCCTCAGCAACTTCTGGTTCAGATTCTTCTGTTTCTGATTCGGCAATACTGACTTCGTCCTCTGATATCTCCTCCAAGACCTCAGAAGTTGCTTCTTCTCTGTCCGATGGTTCCCCTCCTGCTGCTTCTTGTTCTGTATCTACAGATGTTATATCAAGATCCGATTTATCAGTTACCACTTCAGGCTCTGCATCTTGTGCAATTCTGTCCGTAGGTTCCTTCCTTTCATCAGCCTCTTCTATGTGTTCTGCTTCTTGTGGTGGTTCTCTGGTGGGTTCTGTGTCTTCTAAAATTTCTTCAACAAGTTCTGCTTCTTGTGTTGGTTCTTCTGTGAGTTCTGTTTCTGCCGCAGTTTCTTTTACAGGTTCCACGTCTTGTGCTGGTACTCTTGAGGGTTCTGCTGACTCCTCTGCAGTTTCTTCTGCAGGTTCCACTTCCTGTGCTGGTACTCTTGAGGATTCTGTTGACTCCTCTGCAGTTTCTTCTACAGGTTCCACTCCCTGTGCTGGTACTCTTGAGGATTCTGCTGACTCCTCTGCAGTGGGTTCTGTCTCTTCAGTAGTTTCAGCTGCAGGTTCTTCCTCTTTTGCAGCACCTCCTGTCGGCTCTGCTGTTTCTACAGTTTCTTGTTCAGGTTCTGCTTCTTGTGCTGTTACATCTGTTTCTTTTTTCTCTTCAGGTTCAAGAGATTCCTCAGGTGTTTCTGCACTTTCAACTGGTTCTCCTGTAGTCTGGGTTGTTTCTTCTTCTTTTGTAGTCTCATCTACTGTCTCTACTGGCTGTTCTTCAGTGATTTCTGTTTCTACTGTAGCCTCAGCTGGTTCTTCTTCTGCTGTGATGTGTACTGGAGCTTGTAATGTATCCTCCGCGGTAACTGTTGCCCCTTCTTTTTTCTCTGGTAGTTTTTCCTCTGCTGCCTCGACCACCTCCTCTTCCCCCACCGTGACATCTTCTATTTCAACTGCTAGTTCTTCTTCTGCTGTTTCACCTGTCTCTGCTGTTATCACTTCCGTGGACTCCACTTCAACAGCAGCTTCAGTTGTCTGATCTTTAACAACAACCGAAGCTTCTTCATGTTTGACTTCTACTTTCACCTCTTCTTCTGTTGCCTCTGCTACTGTTTTTTTCTCCTCAGGTGTGACTTCCTCTGTGACCTCCGTCTCGGCCACTGTGGCATCTGGTGGCACCTCCTCAGGGACAAAGGAGGAATCTTCATCCTTGTCATCTTGTAAGATCACTACAACAGGCTCAGAAGTAACCTCGGCCGTTAGCTTTGGTGTGTCTTCTGGTGCGTCGCCCTCTCCAGCGTCTTTACTAACTTCTACTGCTATCTTGTCTGTTGTCAGAATCGAGGCCTGAGAAGGAACCTCCATTTCCATGTCTGAGACAGATTCTTGCTCTGGAGTCACATTTAGAAATACTTCATCTTCTTCTGAATCTTGATCTGTTATCAGATATACAGTTGGAGTTGCCTGTGTGTTGACTTCGGTTTCATCTTGGCTGACTTTGACCTCTGAAGGATGTTCCTTGGGTTCCTCAAGAATTGCTGCTTCAACTAATTCAGGTGCATCTGGCACAGTTTCATCAGTTGGCTCTGGTGAATCCTCAGTTTGAACCTCATCAGTCAACACAACATCTGGAGTGATATCCAAAGAGTTGTCTGGAACTTCTCCACCTTCTGGGCCCACAATGACCTCAGAAGTTGTCTCTGGGGTAAGCTCGGTCCCAACTTCTGATGGAGCCTCAGCAGCAGGTTGTAGGAATTCCTCCTGCCCTAACTCTTCCAGTGTGGCAGTTTCTGTAGCAGGTACTGTGGTGGGGCTTGTAAGAACTACAACAGTAGCTGCTGTGAGGACCTCTTCAGCCATGGCTTCTGAGGGTGGCTCTTCACCTTTTGGGGTAACTTCTTTAATCCCTTCAGATCCAGGCACATTCCCAAGATCAGGAATTACTGCATCTTCCACAGCAGCCTCCTCCTCTGTTGTATCTGGGACAGTTTGGTCTCGCCCCACATCCTCAACAAGCCCATCAAAGGGCTTATCAGAGTCACTAACCTCTGTGGCAATATCCTCTGCAATGTCCTCAACACCTATTTCTTCAGTATTCAGAGTGTCAGTAATGACCAAAGGAGGACTTTCTGAAGTGATGCCACCTCCAGTCTCCTGGACATCTTCGGTTTCCTCAGGCTCAGAGGTCAAATCCACAGGGATCCCGATCCAGGATGTTGCAGCCTCTTGAACAGACCCTTCGGTTGTAGAGGATGGAGGTGTCCAATCAGTGCCCTCAAAGTCCAGTGAAAGGTCATCTTGGTCGGTTGAGATTATCTCTGATGTGACATCTTCTATTTCAACTGCTAATTCTTCTTCTGCTGTTTCACCTGTCTCTTGAACAGACCCTTTGGTTGTAGAGGATGGAGGTGTCCAATCAGTGCCCTCAAAGTCCGGTGAAAGGTCATCTTGGTCGGTTGAGATTATCTTCGATGTGACATCTTCTGTTTCAACTGCTAGTTCTTCTTCTGCTGTTTCACCTGTCTCTGCTGTTATCAATTCCGTGTTAACGTCTTCCCCTGCAAAATGAAAACACAGTTAAAATGACATGATCAGGACGATGGAAAGAAAATTCAAGGAGTTGCATGATGCAGAATCATACAGGGGAATGACATATACTGCCAAGACCACCAAACAGAGCTGTAAGACTCAGACCCTTTCAGAAATTTTGGGGCATTGGTGATCCCTGCTAAAATTTCCTAAGTTTATTAATGAAATACAATCTGTGGTTGACTGTTTGTTCTTTATAGACCCTTTTACTGTTAGTAAACAGTATGATTTTTTTTGGTGGGCGGGGCTTAGCTGGAGGCAAAACAGTTCTCCACAGACATTAGCTAGCGCTAGCTAACAAGTTGTGTTGTCTTGTTTTAGATGATGGAGGAAGATGATGTGAGCGGTGCGTTCAGAAACACTCATTGTGAGTGTGGGAGCGCACTCTGACACAAACTGGAGCGTTGATAAATTGGGAGCGCTGTCTGAATGTAGCGTTGGGTTATCCAGAGCAGCGCACTCTCAGAGTGGCAGAGCGCACTCTGGACACTCTGTCTGTGGAGACGGAGCAGCAGAGCGCCGAGCGGAGTGAATGTGTGATTAACTTAACCGTTGGTTCATTCATGTAGAAATATAACGCTGCGTTTCTTCCACCAACAGGGCTCTCATTTTAGTGTAGAGCGTCAGACTGAATTTACCAACGCACCATGTCAGGTCACTCACTCTCCGGGACCGCCAGTGTTACTAGAATAAGTAAACACTGACCAACGGGACCAGACTGGCCGACCAGTATGCTCTCACTCAGTGGATGGATGATGTCACAGGAAGCCAATCTTACAAAGGAGGACCACACTTGTTTGTTTTGCTATGGAAGCTAACGTTAGCTAATGTGCTAAAAAGTTAGCGTTGCAGAGAAATCCAATCTTCCTCTTAATCCCTCCCCAGTTTCTGATGAGGTGGACATGATAACCCTTAATACACATAACCTTATTCATCCCTACAACAGGAAATACTTTTTCCCTAACCTGATATGAAGTGTGCGCTGCACATGTGAGCATTTTTGATGATGGCCTCCGTCCAGTCCTTTGGTCTTATCACATTTAACCATAGTTGTCTTTGTTTTTGTTGACGGGCAGTGGCGGCTGGTTTTGAGCCATGACTCCTTCTATTCTGGCTCCCAATAACACAACAAGACAAACACATTTTAACACTCCTATGGAGCCTACAGCCCTGTGGGGGAGAGGCAGCTGCACCTCCAGCTGATGACATGATGTCATCGTGACGTCGGCCCTAAAAGGGTTTATGTCCATTTATGTGTGTGAACTCTACAGCTGTGTAATGTTGGCTAACACACAGCAACCCGCCTTTATCTGGGTCGAGTCCTGCTGGAGTTTTACCTCTTCAGACATTTTAACTTCTCCATGAACCTTTGAAGTGGGTAAAGTCGTGTCACACTGCTTTCACTAAACTTTGAAAAACAAAGCTGCTTTAGCGACAACTGCTGCGAACCCAGCATCTCAACCTGTAGCTGTGATCTCACTAACCCTGATACCTGTCCTGCAGTGACTCAGTCACGTCTACACCTCTGGTCCTCTGCTCATTGACCAGACTGCTGCCTGTAAATAGGCTTACAGATCTATTCTGAGAGCAGAGCGTGTGACGGGAATCAGCCTCCTGCACCCACTCCTTCTTCACATGGGCTGAGGTGGGTGTTAGCTGTCAACAGACTCTTAAACCTGTACGGACATTTAGGTTTGTACGAGCGTTGTTTTTCATGCCCACCAGGGGGTCATTAAAGACTTTCAATAGGTCACCAGTAGGACACTATTAACCACCTGCTGTCCTTTAATGAATGAGCTGCTCTGCTTCCTTCAGCTTTACGTCAACATTTGAACAACGAAAGTTAATAAAAAAGAGAAATGTTTAAACACATAACAGCTGTGTTAAAACACATACATGTATTGAATGAATGAACTTAATGCACTTAATGAACTTAATGCACCACACTTGGGATAAAAGCTTCTGCTAAATGAGTCTGATGTAAAAAATATTCAATAAATAAAAAATAACAATTTATTTTTACCAACACCACTCTTGAATGTATATTTAACAAATGATGCACATATTAAATGTATTTGTGATTCTTATTTCTATTTATGTGTATATTGTGCTTTACATTGTAGCATAATAGTTGCATGTTAATATTTCTTTAAACTTTACGTACTAGTTTTATACATTGTTAATGTAGCATAATGCACAGATTTTAAAATTTCTAACTTAACGCACTATATTCATACATTGTAATGTAGTATAACGCTCATTATTTCTATATTTCTAAACTTAACATACTATTTTTTTCATTTTTTCCCCCATTATTGTCATATTACTAAACTTTATATACTAGCTTTATACATTGCTAATGTAGCACAAGCACATTATTTTTATGTTTCTAAAACTGCCATACTTGTTTTATACATTCTAATGTGACAAAATGCAAATTATTTTCATATTTCTAAACTCAACATCTTTATTTTATACATTGTAAAGTAGCATAATGCATATATTTTTATATTTCTTAACTTTACATACTACTTTTATACATTATTTTTAAGTTTTACATACTAGTTTTTTAACTTTGTAATGTACCAAAATGTACATACTTTTAGATTCCTAAACTTTGCATACTATTTTATACATTGTGATGTAGAATAATGTACAGATGTTTATATCTCTAAACTTAAGATACTACTTTTATACATTATTCTTTATTTTCATGCATTGTAACTTAGCATAATGCGCATTATTTTTATACTTTTACACTATACATACTTAGCATATTATACACATTTTATACTTAGATTATTTTATAGTGTTTGACATTGTAGCATTATGCACATATATTTTTTATTTTTTATTTCTACATACTTCTCATTTTCTTACTTCATATCTCTGCTTTCTTATAATTCTCTATGCTTTACATCAAAGTGGCTGTGACATCACAATTTTCCTCAGTAATTAATAATGTTTTTCTGATTCTGACTCTGTGGAACAAAAACGTTGACACCACTTATTAAGATTTATTGCAAATATTGTTTTTATTTTCCTTTTCTAGTTCATACTGTGAATGTTTCACGCCACTGCACAAACTGCGACTTTTAAAACTGTACAGCTCCTTTAAAAACAAACACACTGCACTTTTTTCTTTTCCTATTATTCATTTATGGTCCCTGAATTTTGCAGTTGTTGCTTTTACTTTGATTTTGTTTTACTATGTTTATTGTTACACACCAAAGCAAATTTCTGGTATGTGAAAACCTATTCAGAGAGTGAGCATCAGGTGAGTGTTTACCTGGCTGAGTCACTGATTCTGCAGTCTGGACCGTTGTTGTTTCAGAGCTGCAGGACGGAAACAGAGACAGGAAAGTGTTCAGGGGAAACATTAACAGCGACAACTTTCTCTGTCACATTTTAAATCTTCTGTTAATGTGAAAGAAAAAGAAATATCAGGCTAGTTATTGATTATAACCATACAGAAATTACAAGTTTACAGAAGGACTCAACATTAAACATTCACAAATAAATATTGATGTTAAACTTAATTAATTTTGTTAATTTGCATTGTAGTCCAGTCAGTGTAGCTCAAAAAAGGGCCTGACCGAGGAGAAACTGCAACAGTAATGTTTTATAGTTTTTATTAGTCCCAACACCCTCCTGTGTCACATATTATAAGTACACCTTCATGGATTAAGTGGAACATATTTGTCCAGTCATGGGACAGGAGAGCTTCACTAATTCCATGACTTTTCCAGAAACTTTTAATATTTTTGATAATTTCGTGATTTCCCAAAATCTTTTAATAATTTTTACTAATTCCATGACTTTTCAAAAAACTTTTAATACTTTCAGTTAATTCCATGACTTTTCCAAAAACTTTTAATACTTTCAGTTAATTCCATGACTTTTCCAAAAACTTAATAATTCCGTGACTTCTCCAAAAATGAACTTTAAGCACTTCTTAGTGTGATGCTGTGACACGAAGGCCCTAAATTTTGACCCTGGAATTTACCTTGTTCCACTAAGTATATTTTGCTATACTTTTAAGATGTTATTTGGATGCTTCTGAGGATCACATAAGACCTTGAATGAACCACAGATTGACTGGACTATTGATGGTTTTTGTATGTAATCAGAGCTCTTTTCTTGTTATGATCAGAGATTGAATGATTACATCCATAAATGTTACAGAACGATGAGTTACTGTCCAGTGAAAACCAGGTAAAAGTCCACATATAGTGACTTTGAATTTTTCAGATTTTCTTGATTGATTAGTTCGTCGATTAATCACTAACAACCTGAAACTGCACACAACCAAAATATGATGAAATAGAAAATATTTCTTAAGATAAATAAAAATCATTAATGACATAACGATTTAATTTCAGTCCTCGATTAAATGCTCCTTTAATCTTCTACTTTCTGAGCTAAATAAATTTAATTAAAAAAAACCTTTAGATTGTGTGAAAAATGCATCGACCTCCTGATTTTCTGAGCTCATGAAAAAATGTAAAGATACATAGATTTCACAGGACAGCAGTGATGATTAATGTAGAAAATAAATTATATTAAAGTAAAAAAAAAAATAATAAAATACAGTTGTTAAAAGTAAGAGTCTAAATTTTAGTCCAGGAATGCAGCATTTAAAGCAGCATCAGTAAAATGAGCAGAAGCTGATTTATAAAGGGGAATTTTCCACTTATTTTAAGATTTTTTTTCTCAGTTAATGTTTTTTTTTTAAATCTTAAAACTCGTAACAATCAGTTAAAACCAAAATTTACCGAGAGTTTGTCTTCAGGGCCTTGAACAGAAACCCAGTCTGTGACGAAACATCTGTGAACCCTTAAAATAGTTGGCATTCCCCTTTAAAGTCATTAAAGTACAACACAGCTGGGCCTGGGCACTTTTACAGTGCCAAATTAACAAAGACCACACGACTGTAAAAAAAAGCACAACAAGACAAACAAGCACAACAAACAAGCGTCTCGACTCCTCGTCATCTGGCTGAGTGTGAAGCAGCTAATTACCGAGTCATTAAAACTCTACGAGTCCAGGTTTCAGTTGAAGAATGTAGTTTGTATTATTTGTATATCTGTAAAAATATATTGTAACAAACTGCTGTTAATGTAAAGTAAATGTATATATACACATTATATATGTGTGTATAATAAAAAAAAATACTCATATTTGTAATTTATACATACAACAATCTGTAAATTCCATGTACACTTACATGTAATTTACATATACTATTATATGTAAATTAAATACAGAAATGTCCCTATTTATATTTGACTGTACTACTTGTAACTAGTTATTTCAGTATTGTTAATGCATTTGTTTGCTTATATGAAAATGAAAAATTTGTGTAATTTATACTTATATTTGTAATTTGCAATTACAACTATTTGTAATTTACATGTACACTTACATGTAATTAACATATATTTATATATGTCAATTACGTACTGTACATTTATTCATGTAACTATTTGTAATGTATTTGTATACTATACTAAACATATTCAAATAATTTTCCAAATATACTCACGTGTAAATTACATATTTATGTGCAATTTATATCTCTACTAATTTTTTATTTACTTTGTAATTTACATGTATACTTGTACTTACTGTACGTAATTTACATATATAATAATATTGATCAGGTTTTTGTGTGTGCAAATGACATTTCTGCTGTACTGTCAGTTTTGGTGGTTTGTTGGTGGACTGACTCGGGGTCAGGTTGGTGTCTGCAGGCCTACCTGCACGGAGGAGGACCTGAGGTGATGGGCACACTGCAGCAGGTAATGAAACACAGCACAGGTGTCAATAAACAACCACTTCCACTTTATAACTTTCACTTATAACCATAATTTTAGTGCAACAACACTGAATGAAAGTCCCGAAGTTTTGGGGTTTCACGTCTGTGAGATGAGAGGGTGAGGATATTTATCTGAACCTTCAGATTATCTGGCACTGTACAGTAATAGTTTTATCGAAGATGCCTTCAAAGTTTCTGTTCATAATTAAGTCATAAAAACTCCAAACAAGTGAATAAATCTGTTTGTGGGAACTTTTGAACCAGACTCCGATTAAAATCAATTTGTTTGTTTGTTTGAAATTAATAACTTGATATAAAAAAACAGAACAAAACTTGTTTTGTGTGGAAAAAAACAAGTTGGAACATTCTCAAAGTGATGGCCGATTGTTTAATATTTGTAAAGAATTAAAGCAATTAAGCAATTAAACGCTAAAGGCAGAGTTTACAGAGCTACTGTCTCACCCCACTGCCTGAATTTGTTTTCACGCTTTTTAAAAAATAAATACGATTAAGAGACTTGTCACTGAAAGACGATGTTAAATAAATATTATTTAAGAAAACCAGCACAACAACACAACATCAACATGACACTTTGAAATGAAACACACGCTCGTAAACCGACCTGTTCATCGCCGTAGCCATGGCGACTCTCTGAAAGAAAGAAACACATCGTCAGCAAAGAGACGCATCACAGATTGTAACAAATAAAAACAAAAGCAAAAACACAATTTATCATTCCGCAGTGAAATGTACAGAAAGACATTAACAGGACGGCTGAGGTTGGTTTGTCGCCTTTTTGTGGCCTCACATCAAAATTTTAAAGTTTTATTTAAAGTTTTATCATGAGTTTACCTAATATCTATGTATATTTCAAAGATACTTTGAATTTTATTTGTGAGTCTTTTGAAAGGAAACACAAACTCAGACGTCAAGTATTTGTCTGAACTTTTGTAAACCAAAAAGTATTTTACACCTTGTACTGAGCTATAGATTACAACAGTAATTAAAAGGGAAAAAAAAGTTGGAACACTGTGCAAAAAGCAAATAAAAACAGAAATTAATAATTTGTATTTAATCAGATGCAGCACAAAGACTAGATATTTAAAGTTTAAACTGATAAAATTGATGATTTACTAATTCTGTGACTTTTGAAACACTTCTAGCGATTTTTATTAATTCCGTGACTTCTTTAAAAACTTTTAAGATTTTTACTAATTCTGTGACTTTTCAAAAATTAATGTATTATGCTCTGCTTACCACGTGTCAGATCCATCAGGTCCATCGCACTGCCTTGCGGGAATTTGCGTCTAATCATGTCTTAACATTGACATTATGCGTAATTCACTCATGCAAATCGGCACTTCAAACAAAAGGCTCCTCAAAATATCAACTAAATTGTAGTTGGTGTGTTCAAAACTTTATCCCCATGTTGTTCTGCTTTATTGAACATCTTTTTTATAGACTGAAATGTAAGAATTTCTTTATCGCTATAGTTTTATTCAGTTAATACTAGGGCATTAACGACTTTGATTTTTTTCAGGTTGACTTATCTGTCAATAAAGTCGAAGTCGAGTCGACAAGTCGTTTGATGACGTCATCACATTGACACGGCGGAGTAAAGTGAAGTATCTCCACACATGTGATGTGTGTCTGTCAAGGCCCGAACATACTCGGGCGGAATGTACATGGAACGGACACTGCGGGGGTCCATGCGGACTCAAAGCGGACGTCCGCAAGCTCTGTGCACGCAAAGCTCAGATTTTACGACCGCGCGGACTCCGCTCCGCGCACCAGTGACTGCTCGGCATGTATTTTTCACATCGCAGGGATTTTTCAGGGACATTTTTACAGGAAACTACAACGCGGAAGTGCGCTCGACTATGAAAGCCCGAATGACTGGAGTCTGGTCCGCTTATAGTACGCCCGAGTACGTTCAAGGATAAAGTATCAGTGCAAGCCAATCAGAGGCAGCGATTGCATTCCGTACACAAGCACACACAGAGAGAGAGAGAGAGGGAAAAAACACACGACTCCTCCCGGGGGGTGTCGACTTGTGCCACTAACGTCGACACGTCGACAAATCGACATTTCTGTTAATGCCCTAGTTAATACCATGTCTTGTCTAATTTACTGAAAAAAAAGACATGTTGAATAATTAGAGTATTTCCTCCACTGAATGTTAAGAAATATTTACAAATTATTTTATTTTATTTTTTTTCATTTTATTTTATGTACATTTTACACAGCATCCCAACATTTTTGGAATCAGGGTTGTATTATAATTTATATATTTTATTGCTTATGGTAATAATAATAGAAGTATTTTGAATTCTACACTAGATGACAATATTCATGTATTATTTATGTTCATTATTATACACTATGTATTAATATATCACCTTTTCTTTAATGTAGTATTCATACAAAAACTCAGATGTACCGTCACGTCCATATTCCTCACACAGCCTGATTTTATTTTATTTTGTTGTCACCTTTAAACTAAAATAAAAACCCAAACGCACAGTCGTGTTGGCTGTTGTCACACAGACTTACACTCAACATTAAAATACTCACACTCTTGACAAGGCTGATGTGTTCCTCTGATTGGCTGAAGAACCGGCCAATGTCCATGACGGTGGCGGAGCAGTCCATGCAGCGACCGACCCAATCCTGGTACTCGTCCCGCTCTGGCAGCCGGTCCCAGAAGATCTTATATGCCTCCCACACCGTCTCCTGGCACACTGAAACACATGACAACCTCAAGTTATAACCCTGAAACAAAAAGTCTTGAACATGAGGTCCACTCAAGGTCCCTGCAAGGAGAAGGGTCTCAACATGTACAGAAATATCCTTCAAACACTCAACATCAACACATCTGGAGATTCAAGGTTTCACTGGACAGGAAGCGACTAAAGTACAAGACTTCCCTCTGACACATAGTGCAGGAGAAATCCTCAAGTCAAGTACAGGTACCTTGAATCTGTATTTGAGCAGAGTACTTGACCGTGACTCTCAGAGACATGAATGTTCTCCTGCTCATCGAGCTTAAAACCAATATGTCTTAGATCCATCTCTGTAAACATCAACAGATCAGCTTTACTGTTTATTGTTTACTGTTTACTGTTTATGGTTGGAGTTCTGTCAGCATGTTTCCATAAACCTGACCCTCCAAATGTCTTCATTTGGGTCCAGAATAGACAAACCGCTAAATTTAGACGGTGACTCCATCAAAGTCTGAAACACTGGTAAACATCAGCTGTTTGGAGCCGGAGCTCAACAACACCACAGAGAAAAGGTTGTTTCAGGTGGAGGACTCTCAGAGCGAAGGTTTGAGTTCCTCTGCTCTGCACACAAACTACAATGTGAGGTGATAACAAGAAGTCATGTTGATTAAGCAGCGTCCGTCTCGTCTATGACTCTCGCCATTGTTGGTTGTTTATATGTTGTCAGAGAAACCATATTTTGATTTCAGACGAATCAGCGAACTCAGCAGTGTGGGCAGATACAAAGTTCTGAACCAGGGATAGGAGTTTCTAGGATTTGTGGACATTCAGGGCTCAGTCAGACCTGAATCAGTGGGTCCGGGGGGATCCTTCCCGGCACTGATGCACCAGCAGCTTTTGGTCATTTCAGTCAGGGGAAGCAGTTCCATGAAGCAATTGCTGCTCACATGAACGCTCTCAGATTTTGCTCTGCCACACAGAGGTCGCCATGTTGTGGTAGCCCCCTGGCTTTGGATGATCAATAAGGGGGCAGGGCATCACAGAAGCAGAAAGACGACAAGATGGAAGAGTTGATAATGTTGGTGTTTAAATAGGCAGAGTCGTACGACACAATACAACCACAAGAAAAAGTCGAAACCTATGTTTCATTTTTGTTAAGGAGACGTGATGAAAATTATTGGACTAAAATGTTTTACATTTTCATTGACTCAAACATTTTGAATTTTCATCTACTAAAATGTTTTGAATTCTTCTCGACTAAAACATTTTTAATTTTGTCGACTCAAACACTTAGAATTTTCTTTGATGAAATATTTGAGTTTTCGTCAACGGAAATGGTTGAATTTTTGTCGAGTGAAATGTTTTGACTTTATGTTTACTAATTGTAAATGTTTGTCGACTAAACCTAGACTAAAATCATAAGAAATAAAAACTGTGACTAAAACTAATAAACATTTTTGACTAAATCTAAAATAGCTGTCAAAATTAAACTGCCTGCATCAACATTTCCACCAAACTTCAGGTGGTAAATTGTCCAAATACGTATGAAAGTTTGGTCATTTCAGTGATTTCAATTGTCTTACTACAGTGTGCCTTGTGGAAAGCCAGTTGCCACACGACGACAGCTTAATGTATATTAAAAGTTTAAAACATACCAGTGTGAACCAGTTTATTTTCCCTGTGATTAAGAAAATGGTTTCGGGGCCACCTGGCACCCTATTAAGGACCAGATTCGGCCCGTAGGCTGTTCAGCAGTTGAGCATCACTGGTCTGGACCCAGGTGGGTAGATCATCTGAGAGCGTAACAGAAAGCTGTTCAAATTACGTCATTTCACTTCAACATAAACAACAGCTATCACATAACAACTAAACTGTCTGCATGACAACTGAGCAAACGGCATCCACTGATGAAGGCCACTGGCTTTGGCTGAAAGCTTCAGAAAAACAAAGTCAGTGGGTCTTATGATGAGTTTTTTTTTGTCCAGTGATTCCCAAGATCAACAGATAAACCTTTCAGTTTGACGTCCAACATCAGTCCTTCTGAGATCGAAGGATAAAACTCAACATTACTGTCCTGATTTAATTATTGTATTGTATTGATTTAATTATTTTCTCCTTTAATTAAGGTTCACGCCTGAAGGCCTGTAAGAGATGAACTCTGACCCTGAAACCACAGGAAGTACCCAAAACTGAAGCCTCTGAGTTAAGGAGGTCGTGTTTTTACAGTGCATCTGGCTCTGCATGACCTACGACCTTTCTGGGCTCGGCTGCCTTTAATGACGGAAGACTCGAGGATTAAGTTCGTTTGGATAAGAGCTTCAGTGAAACACCTCCAGTGTTGAGGGAACAAACCGGAGGAAACAAAGACCAGGACCAGGACCAGGACCAGGACCAGCACAAGCCCAATTACCTCTGAGTTGGAAGTAGTTGAGGTGGTTGGCGACGGCCTGGTCGAACGTCTCCTGAGTGCAAAACTTGACTCCGCTGGGAAACAAGATATTCCTTTTTCTTCGAGATAGAGCACCGTGTTGTCTGTACAGAAGCTGGTCTGAGTCCAAATGTTCACCACGCTCCTCCGAGTCCAAAGTCTGCTCCCACGTTGCATCTGGAAGGAAACCAGACAGTGTACATTAACTCTGTTATTACCATCTGCCACTGCTTTATATTTTATACTACGTTTATCTGACAGCTGCGTGCCAAACATTGAATACGCTCAGAACCAGCAATTTTACTGCTGATACTGTAACTACATGAAGCCGATGATACTTGTGTACTTTTACTGCTGATACTTTAACTACACGAGGATGATGATACTTGTGTACTTTTACTGCAGATACTTTAACTACATGAGGCCGATGATACTTGTGTACTTTTACTGCTGATACTTTAACTACATGAGGCTGATGATACCTGTGTACTGAGCAGGAATTGTATATGAATGTACTGGTACTTTTACTTGAGTAAATGAGTACTTGTAGAAGTATAGGTATCTCTTGTTAGTAATAGAAACTGCATACGAACCGGTCTCTGTGTAGAAATACCCTGACAGCAGCAGCACCACCCCGATCGTCCACAGCACCACCCTCCGGCTCTGTCCTTCCATCTCTCAGTAAATCTGAACGTCCAGCCGGACTCTGTATCTTATGTCCACGTCCTCAGCTCATCAGCCACTCCAGTCTCACAGGTGTCCATCCACCAGGTCCCAGTACACAGTGAGCTCAGTATGTGGAGGTTCAGTACGGTCCTGGCGTGGCGTCGCCGCGCTGCTCGTTGCTCTGTCAGGTGAGCAGATGGGACTTTGCTGCCGGGGAGATTTTTTCTCTTTGCTCTAATCCTATTTGTTAAGCCGCTGCAGTGGATGACTGTCAGAGCCGCCGCGCTTCGGTGCAACAGGTCAGTCTTGCTTAAAGGAAATCAAACAGGATGATTGTGTCTGAGACTCGGGATTCGACTTTTCACTGAAAAATAACTGAATTAATTAGTTATTAGATTTTTACCGGCGCGATGCTATGGCTCCAAAAAATGACGCTGTTGTTCCACAAATCAGTGAAACTGCTGCACAGACCTGCAGCTGGTTTATGTATGAATCTGAAAATATGTTAAATTTCATTCATCTTCAAATATGAAAACACAATTTAAATTTTACAATGTATTAATGACAGAGATCTTAATGTTTATTAATGTGATTATTAACAACTATTAACTCCTCCTGCAGTAAAACACAAATGTTTTCATAGATACTTGAAATGTCCTTGTATCAGCTCATACCCACATTATAGTCTGTCATGTATCTTATCAAAGGTTTAAAAGCCGAATACAGTTAATAAATCAGGTGGACTCAAAGTCTTAATGTAAAGAATAAAAACAGAAAAAAACTTTCACTTGTTTCTGACAAATTTTCACCAAAATTGGTCTCAGCTTAGTCGGAGCAATTTTTGTTGGGATTTAGCTGGAATTGAGCAGGTATGTTACAGCCACCCAACCAGAATCCAGCCAGAATTCCACCACAATCCAACTGGATACCAGCCAGAACCTAACCAGAATATACAGTACAGGCCAAAAGTTTGGACACACCTTCTCATTCAATGCGTTTTCTTTATTTTCATGACTATTTACATTGTAGATTCTCACTGAAGGCATCAAAACTATGAATGAACACATGTGGAGTTATGTACTTAACAAAAAAAGGTGAAATAACTGAAAACATGTTTTATATTCTAGTTTCTTCAAAATAGCCACCCTTTGCTCTGATTACTGCTTTGCACACTCTTGGCATTCTCTCCATGAGCTTCAAGAGGTAGTCACCTGAAATGGTTT